CTTGATTTGGAAAAGGCGGGGTTCGGAAGGGAACCTGACTCCTAAACATTGAGAATAACAGCACTACTGTCATCCGAGCTCGCTGAACTCGAAGCCCTTAACTGCGTTGAGGGTTTAGGGCTTAGGTTTGGGGTGAGGTTTAGGGTTTAGGGCTTAGGGTTTAGGGTTTAGGGCTTAGGGCTTAGGGCTTCGGGTTTAGGGTTTAGGGTCCGCCCCGGGAGCTCATTCCTAGCGTGAGGATTGGATGCCAGTCCCAGGCACGAGCGTCGAAATCCACAACGATGGGCACCTTGCACAGGTTTAGGGTTTAGGGTTTAGGGTTTAGGGCTTAGGGCTTAGGGTTTAGGGTTTAGGGTTTGTGGTTTAGGGTTCAGGGTTGTTTTGGTTAATGGGTTTAGGCCTGAGGGTCCTAAATACCAAATTCCTAGCGGAGATCCCTATGTGGTGTAGGGCTTCGGGCATCAATAGAGTGGAGACCTAGGTTGTCCAGTATCCTATGATTCAAGATGGTGCCCGTCCTTTGTCTGGTCCTAACAAAACATGGGAATCAAGGTGCCTTCTGGCCGCCCTCTGTGTGCTCGTCCAGAACCCAAACGCTAAAGCCTCCCTCCAAGCAAGCATCGAGAAGGTTGTTGGGGGTCACAGGTCACTAGGTGGGCATCTGGCATGACTTTAGGACGCATGTGTGGAGAACAGAGCGGGAGAGTGCCAGGGAAAGACGCGCCAACCCTGAAACCCTAAACCCGCTGTCAAATGGTCGAGTGGGTAGGGTTCGGACACCCCAAGCTCTAAACCCTAAACCCTAAACCCGAGACCCTAGACCCTAGACCCTAAACCCTAAACCCTAAACCCTAAACCCTGCACCCTGCACCCTACACCCCCTAAGCCGCAGTAGAGCTGCCCAGCTGTCCACTCCCTTCTCCAGCAGCTTGTGGACGTCCTGCGGGGTTTAGGGTTTAGGTTTCATAGGGTTTAGGGTTTAGGGTTTAGGGTTTAGGGTTTAGGGTTTAGCTTCAGAACCCCAAAAGTGGCCCAAAAGAATAAAAAAACAATACACCCTATATTGCCCTTAATACGGCAGAATATCTGTGTTTTTTCGGGGTTCTTAAGCAATTAGTAAATACTCACATTAGGTTCCCCCTTAAGTATCCTTAATTGAGCTTCATTACCCCTAAACAGCCTTAATTATGAGGGGAACCTAGGGCGGGTAGTATAGAGGGGGGTCGTAGGGGAACCCATGTATATTAAATATACACGTACTTACATGTATCAGGGGCCGTGCTAGTACCAGCGACCCAAGGTTCGACCCTCGACCCTGAACTCTAAGCCCTCCCATACCTAGAGAACCCACCGTCTGCACGAATAGGCCTAAACCCTAAACCCTAAACCCTAAACCCTAAACCCTAAACCCTACTTGCAAAGGTGAGCCCTTGAGCTCCAGCTACCCAGCAGTATGGGCTCTATGCGGCCAAGCGTGTAGTAGGGCTTAGGCCCTTAAACCCGAGAGCCTGCATCCTAAACCTTTCAGGGTTTAGGGTTTAGGGTTTAGGGTTTAGGGTTTAGGGTTTAGGGTTTAGGGTTTATAGGGTTTAGGGTATGCCGGGCTTCCATTACAGGATGTCCTCCAGAACTAAATGTGCCAAGGCGTTTCGGGGTTTGGGGTTTAGGGTGTGCTTAAGTGGGTATGCTTCGCTCGGGCTTTTCACAGGAACTGTGTGTACCGAACTCCTTCGTAATCAGGCTGCGCATCTAACATGTGAATCCTACGTCCCCCCAAAACCCTAAACAAACCCGAACCTCAACTCCAACCCCAAATCACAAACCCGAAATCCTGAACCCCAATGCCCCAACCCTGTCCATCATCATCTGCTCCACACGCTGCGCCCGTGTCAACAACTTTTCCTTCTCCGTTTGCATCCTGTGCATCTTTTTTACGGGTGGCGTACGGCCCCAGGGTTCTTCGGGTTTGGTTCAGGGCTTAGGGTATTTTTGATTTGGTTGAATCTTCTTTAGGGCGTAGGCTTTGGGGCCTGGGGTTGAGGGTTTGGTTGTTTGGGCTTAATCCCTAAACACTCAACCCTAAACCCTAAATCCTAAACCCTAAACCCTATACCATATAAGGATCTTCAGCCTAAGAGTTCAAAGCCATGCGTGCAAAAGCCTCCCGGATGCCCCCTAGCCATGAAGACCCAAGACGCGAGCTTCAGTGCACGAGACAGAACCAAAACAACCACTGTTAGGGTTTAGGGTTTAGGGCTTAGGGTTTAGGGCTTAGGGCTTAGGGTTTAGGGTTTAGGGTTTAGGGTTTAGGGTTTAGGGTTTAGGGTTTAGGGTTTAGGGTTTAGGGTTTAGGGATCCGTTGAGATAAAACAAAAAAGGCGAAAGCACCTTACAGAAAACCGAAGAGCCCTCAATGGACTCAACCCTGCGAACCCCAAAGCCTTGAACCCATACACGCGGTTTGCACCCACAGGCCCCCAAAGCCCTGAACTTGAACTCTTTATGGCTTCGGATGTACTACTACTTGCTTAAGAACCCCGAAAATGAAAAACATATTCTATGTTTTTTTAGCAAAGAGCAGTCATGGCAAGGGTTCAGGTTTAGGGTTCAGGGTTTCGGGTTTGCAGTTTCAGGCCTTTTTGTATTTCCAAGGCTTCCGACATCTTTGGGCAGCTCACGACGTGAACCCCCGACAACCTACCAGCGCCTATGGGGGCCCTAAACCCTAAACCCTAAACCCCAAACCCTCAACATAAGGAGGGTTGGGATTACGGGCTCCTCTGGGGGTTTAAGGTTTAGCTTTGTAGGGCTTAGGGGTTTAGGGTCCTACAAACATGGTTTTCCAGAATGCCCCTTCTAGAGGCCTTTATACCCCAATATTCGGATCCTTATTATCTTGATCTCGTTTCGGGGGCCCCGTAATCTAACCGACCGCCCTTGACCCCCGCTGGCCCTAAACCCTAAACCCTAAACCCTAAACCCTAAACCCTAAACCCTAAACCCTAAACCCCAAACCCTAAACCCTAAACCCTAAACCCCCTCAAAAGCTCAAGATCTGCCCGGGGCGCTGGTTCTCGCACTTCCGCGATAGATCCGCAAGCATCTGCGAGTCGAATGGTTGGCAGAGGGGTTTTAGAGGCTCGACCCCTGGGAGGATCCAATAAAAGTAGATCCCCTTAAGGGTTTAGGGTTTAGGGTTTAGGGTTTGGGGTTTAGGGTTTGGGGTTTAGGGTTTAGGGTTTAGGGTTTAGGGTTTAAAGTTTAGGGTTTAGGGTTTAGGGAAAGACCCACTAGTAGTATGGGGTACTATTTGGGGTTTCTACTTCTTGGATCCGCCCAGGGGTCTGGGTGGACGCTCAGGATTAATACATGTTCAAGGGTAGCTTCGGCCCTCCATACAGTCATGGTGGCTGAAGAGAGGAGCGAGCCTGAAACGCAAAATCCCAGACTTGCAATTTGTGTCCAAAGGAGACTAACAACTTTCTGCATAGAGGCCCAGCCTAAGGTGCCGGGCCAGCAGGGTTTGGGTCCCACACCCGAAAACTTCAGTCTTCCAACATACCTCCAAGGCTTTAGGGTTCGTGGCTGAGGGACAGGCCCTAAAACCCTGAACCCGCGCTAGGGAATCGTACCTGAACAACCAGAGGCACCCCAAACTCTAAACCGCCTAAACCCAAAACCTAATATAGGGGCCTGAACAATTGGAACAGGGTTTTCGGGTGTATTCTAGTATGATCATAAATGGACCCTAAGAGCAAACTACCAGTCGTTCTTCCGACCCCTATAGAAAAAAACCCATAATTATTAGGACTGCATGGCGTTAAAATGATCCGGACATCAGAGCCAACTTTTAGGGTCCATGTGCCTGCATGGGGCGTGCTTGAGCCCTAGAGCACTTGCTATCGAATGACTTCGGGGCCCCAAGTATTTAGGGTGGGTTTAGGGTTTAGGGTTTAGGGTTTAGGGTTTAGGGTTTAGGGTTTAGGGTTTAGGGTTTAGGGTTTAGGGTTTAGGGTTTAGGGTTTAGGGTCATGGACTTTCAGGGCAAGCGACGAGGCTTTGCGATAGCACATCATCGTGGGAACCCTGAACCCCAGACCCTGCAGACACTAAATGCACGCTACCTTTCTGTGAGCGGAGGCAAGATGACAGCCGCCCGGGATGGAAAGAAGTGAGCCCTCAACGACCTAAACCCCTAAACCACGAAAACTTAAAACCCTAACCCCCGACACCTTAAACCCTAACCTCTTAGACCCTAAGCCCTTACCTGAACCCCTAATCCCATAAACCCTAACCCCATAAACCCTAAACCCTTAAAGCCCTAAACTTGAACAACTCCCGAGTATCCTAGGCCGTAGTGTTCAAACCCGCAACTGTGCATCGTTTAGGGTTTTGGGGTTCCGGGTTAGGAAGCTTGGGGGTGTAGGGTGATCAGGGTTTAGGGTTGAGGGTTTAGGGTTGAGGGTTTAGGGTTTAGGGCATTTGGAACCTGCAGCAATGAGACTTCTATGGGTTAAATGTGCAGGCCAAATGAGCATTTTCGTGTTTTCGCAGGGACTCTTTACTTGGTTGCTGTTTAACCCCAAATTTATAAAGTGCTAAAATTGTCGTAAAGTCCCACCTAGTCAACATAGCGTTGCACAGGGATGAGATCGGGATTCCCCAAAAAAAGGGAGTAACAGTAGTCCCCCCCCATCCTAAATCGTTATAGTAACACATTCCAAAATCAGCCCCAGACACGCCAAGGCCCACAGTCCCGCAATCGGCTTGTCCATCGTCAACCCTGAACCCTAAACCCTAAACCCTAAACCCTAAACGCTTGTGTGCTGCAGTCTCAGGGGTAACACTTGTCCCAAAACACAATGCAGCAGTCCTCTGACGCATGACATGCTAAACCCTAAACCCTAAACCCTAAACCCCAAGCCCCAAACCCAAAACATGCCATGACACTGTGCAGCTTCCAAACTTTTCTGGCGACCTGCATCTAGTGCATGTTCGCATCACTTGTTGGCGTCTGTGAAAGGTCTCATTTTCGACCTGTCGACTTTGATCGCCTTCTTCTTCTGAAAATATGCACTGTGCTTGTCGATCTGGATTGGCGTTTCATCCAGGTTCTGGTCCTGCTTAAACTCCTTCCAGGCGTTCATCGCCGCGGGATGAGTCATGATGTCGTCAAAGATGACGAAGCCACCCACAGGGATGAAGTCGTACCTCGATGCTTGATGGGGCCTGCATTCTACGTCCATCTACCCCATGAATTCATATTCTATTGGGGCTTAGTCACCCCTAACCCCTGGACCCTAAATCCTAGAACCTAGAACCAGGTTCTCTAAACCCTAAACCCTAAACCCTAAATCCTAAACCCTAAACCCTGAACCCTGAACCCTAAACCCTGAACCCTGAACCCTGAACCCTAAACCCTAAACCCTAAAGCACGAAGGCTCATTCACCTGTCCGGGTCTCGGCAGGGTTCAGGGTTGAGGGTCGATGGAGCCCCTCAGTTACTCATGAACCGTCAAGTAGGGTTTAGGGTTTAGGGTTTAGGGTTTAGGGTTTAGGGTTTAGGGTTTAGGGTCTAGGGTCTAGGGTCTAGGGTTTAGGGTCTAGGGTTTAGGGTCTAGGGTTTAGGGTTTAGAGCTTAGGGTTCGACGGGTTCGTGAAAAAAAAGCAAGGGCTGGTCGACTAAGATGCCTAGGATGGCCCGTAAAACCATCGGAACAAATATTCCTAACTGAGTTGTGCGATAAACCCTTTGAAACGTATTTATGAATAGGTTCCCTTAGAAGGAAAGAAGGGAGATTAAAAAAGTATCCCAAAGCACAACCCAATTAAAATAGGATCCTCTTAAACCAAAAAGAACCCGGGAACAAACATGTTAAGCCTTCTTAAAACCCCCCTGAAACATCGTCCTAACTATATTTTTCTGAAAAACCAATAAAGGGGGAAAACAACCTGAAACATAGTCCTAACTATGATTTTCTGACAACCACTAAGGGGGGAAAAACAAATGTCCCAAGGGCCACCCGAGTAGCATGTAGTAGAGAGCATCCTGATAAGAATCATGGAAGTTGGCATCTATCCGGAGAATGGCAATTGCCAGCTTAGAGCTGTCGCTTTCCTCGGCAAACTTCTTCCTTAGCTGTCGCAGAGCGCCTGACATCACCTTGCCTTGTTCTGACAGTCGTCAACCCTCCCTAGAGAAGCAGGGTTCAGTAGGGCTGGGGGTTCAAAGTCTGGACATCTCTTTGCCGCATGGCCTGGACCGGAAAGAAACGACGCAACCCCTAAACCCTAAACCCCTAAACCCCTAAACCCTTAAACCCTAAACCCTAAACCCTAAACCTCCCATTTGTTCATGGTCCAGCTTCAGGCTGTCTTTGAAGAGGCCCTTGTGAAACTGGACGCCCTCGTCTCGGACGCCGAAGACGTCCTCAGAAGGAATTGTTTCAGCTGGGGGCTTCCCCGGCATGCTGGGGTTTGGGGCTTAGGGTTTAGGGTTTAGGGTTTAGGGTTTAGGGTTTAGGATTTAGGGTTTAGGGGTTAGGGTGGGTTTTGGTGTTTAGGGTTAAGGGTGTTTGGCGCGTTTAGACTGTTATGAGTGTTTAGGGTGTTTAGGGTTGAGGGTTTAGGGTGTAGACACAAGGGCCTGCTCAAATTGAACAGGCGTGTTTTTGGAGGCAAGCTGGGCAGTTTGTTTTCTAAGGCTTTTTGACAGATTCTCCTATGAAGCACCTTGATTGGGATTGTAGGGGAGTAATCGCCAACTATTCGCGTATTGCTGTGCTCCTCCAGAATAGAACTGCAGTCCACACTTTTAATCTAGGTTGCCCAGTAACCTAGGATTAAAAGGGTGCACTTTTTTTGCTTAAAGGGGTTTATAGGCGAACCTAGAGTGCCCAAAAAGGGAATAAGGGCACTACTGGGCATCCTAGTACTGGTTTGACATAGTCTCCTCACCATGCCGACTGCTTTGCCAGGGTCTCGTGAAAGCCCCAGGTCCGCGGAACCCTAAATAACCCAAACTTGAGATGTTCCCTTTCAATACTAACAGTGCTGAATAGGGATGATAATAAGGGGGTACTAGAATCCCTACTAAGGACTGTTCGCATAAGGGGGAACGTCCCAACCTCAAAACCCAAAACCCTAAACTTAGTTCCAGCCCTCAGCCCACACATCCCGAATGTCACAGCCCCTGCCCTGTCCTGACTTACATGCTGCAAGAAACCACAGCCCTAGACACACCAAATCCTAAAATAAAATCTGCCTTGATACAGTAGTAGGGCTTAGGAGACATGCCCTAAACCCAAGGGTAACCTAGGAATAAGAAGGGTGCGCTTTTTGGTTTACAGGGGCTGAAAAGGCAACCTAAACCCTCCCCCCTCAAAAAAGTAAGGGCCTACTCCCGGTCCCAGTTTAGCGTTGAGTAGACATGCCTGCGGGAACTCTATCTGAGCAGGTCTCCTTGACATGATAATGCCGTATGGGATTCCCAATATACGGAACCTTGTTTTGAGGGCACCCCCAAGAAAGCCTACAATCAAGAGAGCTGCCCGACTTCAGCCCAACCTTTACACCCTAAACCCTAAACCTAAACCTAAATGCACTTGGAGATCTGCCCATTCTGACCCTACTTCAGAGGGGCCCGGGAACATGCCAAAAAAACGACGCATGCCGGGTAGGAGGGTGTGAGGCTTGGGGCTTGGACCCCGCGCACACACACATGGGGCGCAGGGTTGTTTAGGGTCTACACAGATGGTGGTTTCCGAACTTGGGGGTACCTTCTTGTAAGGGAATCCTACTATCTGGGGTTTAGGGTTTCCCTATGATTTTCGCAAATCCCCCCCAGATATTCTGGGCTGCAGCCTTGTCTCAAAGCTTCGCTCAACCATCTTTTGGTCGACTGCAAGGAAATCTTGACTGCCACGATAGTTTTCCTAAGGATCATCAGTGACCCAGGGGAAAAATGGTTTAGGGTTTAGGGTTTGGGCTACTTGCCGTATATAGGGAACCCAGAACCCAACAAATTTTAAAAATGGCATACTACTGAGCAACCTTGGATGCCCGGGGGGGGGGGGGTTCTGTATAAGGGAACCCTAAACCCTAAACCCCAAACCCTAAACCCTAAACCCTGAACCCTAAACCCTAAACCCAAAAGAAGTGGAAAAGGGTACTGAGCAGCCTGGTTTCCAGGGGAGCAAAGACATCGAAAAGATGGACGCCGCGCTCGGTCTCGCCGAGCACGTCGAACAGTGCCTTTCTAGGGAACCCTAAACCCTAAACCCTAAACCCTAAACCCTAAACCCTCAACCCTGGTAGTTCTACCTTGGACACTTAAGGTGGTACCCTTGGGTTTTGGGGTCCCTTTTTAGGGATCCCTAAGGAATAGAAGGGCCATATCAAGAGTAGATTAAGGGGAACCCAAACCCTAAACCCTAAACCCTAAACCCTAAACCCTAAACCCTAAACCCTAAACCCTAAACCCTAAACCCTAAACCTTTAGGGGTACAGCCCTAGGAGTAGGAGTCTTCATCCCTTGAGTGCCTTGGCGAAGACGCAGCTTCCACCCCTCCACACCTGGGCTTGGCTCTGGGGCGGGGGGGGGGCTTTAGGTCTTCTAAACCCTAAACCCTAAACCCTAAACCCTAAACCCTAAACCCTAAACCCTAAACCCTAAACCCTAAACCCTAAACCCTAAACCCTAAACCCGCTGCATGTCAGCATCGACTCGACACTTGAAATGGGGTTCAGGGTTTAGGGGTTAGGGCTTGGGAGTTTCTAGGGTTTAGGGCTTGCGGATTAAGGTTTAGAACTGAGGGCTTTGGGGTTCAGGGGTGTAGGGTTTTAGGGTAGTATGGTTGAGGGTTCAGGTTTGAAAAAACTAGGGATACAGGGCCTAAGGATGCCCATATAAGGAACCCTAAACCCTAAACCCTAAACCCTAAACCCTAAACCCCTCTTAGGGCTCAGCAACGCCTAGCCACACCCAGCTCCGCAAAGTCCCCTTGAATGCCGTTGGAGACCACGTCAAGCACCAGTTTGGCCTAGGTTGCCCAGTAACCTAGGATTAAAAAGTTTAGGGTTTAGGGTTTAGGGTTTAGGGTTTAGGGTTTAGGGTTTTGCTTAAAGGGGCTTATAAGGGAACCCTAAACCCCCCCAAAAAAAAGGGAATAAGGGTACTACTGGGCATCCGAGTGGCGATGTTCTTCAGCCTGGCGAACCCCACCTTGGCTACTCCAGGTTTAGGGTTTAGGGTTTAGGGGTTTAGGGGTTTAGGGGTTTAGGGGTTTAGGGGTTTAGGGGTTTAGGGGTTTAGGGGTTTAGGGGTTTAGGGGTTTAGGGTTTAGGGTTAGGGTTAGGGTTTAGGGTTTAGTGGCTAGGGTTTCGGGTTTCGGGTTTAGGGTTTAGGGTTTAGTAATTATGGCACCCTTTTCTGGGCAGCTGTCGCCTTCTCAAGCGACCTTTGTGACAAATTGAGGGTGGTAGAGCACAAGGTGGGCCAATTTTTTGTGGTGGTCAGGATAGCGTAGAGCGATAGGCAGAAGGTATTATTGATAGTAGCGACATTACAAGCCTGGGCCGTGGGCCCGTGGGCCCGTGGGCCCGTGGGCCCGTGGGCCCGTGGGCCCGTTGATCTTCTTTAAAGAGGCCTGCCCGTGGAACAGGGTATTCTCTTTACTTAATACAAGGGAACCCTAAACCCTAAACCCTAAACCCGAAACCCTAAACACTAAACCCTAAACCCTAAACCCTAAACCCTCAACAAAAAGGGCAAACGGGCACCCTGGTCTGCCAAGCCACCATAGTGTATCCGGTCTTGGGCCAGTCCTTGCTTCTCCAAAAACCCGAGGGAAAAAGGTTACACTTTATAGGGTTTGTGGGTTTAGGGTTTAGGGTTTAGGGTTTAGGGGTTAGGGGTTACTCCAAAAGTTTAGACTTCAACTCTTGGCGAAGCAAGAGTCGTTTCCACAGGACCGGGCCAACCAAGTCTTCTTCCCAACCGCATTGATGGTGGGCAGCGACCCTGTGAGGCTCAAGGCAAGCAAGCGCAGATACTTGTGATACCTTGGCAGCCCAGTAACTATACTCCCCTTAGAACCCTAATAGAAAAAATTGTAGTATCTTCTTGGGTTTTCAAAAAACAAAAGTAAAAAACAATTCCCAAGGGGGGTATGGGCAATGGCCCAGTAACCATGTTAAAACACTGGTGCACTTCTCTTTGGGTCTTGGGTACTTTAGAGGGGAACCTTGAACCACAAAAAAAGTAAAAGGGTGCCACTGGGCTACCAAGATACGCAACTGGATACCCTTCAGCAACTGAGCTTGCGATGGCCCAGAAATCTGACGCCGACACGTTGCCACGACCGACAGCCGTACAGCGCTGAACATCAGCTGCTGTGTCAGCTGCAAGGAGTTGGTGTCTCTGAGCTTCAAGTCCCAGCGTCTGTGGATATGATCTCCAACGAGACCACCAAACTAGCGCTGCCATGGACAAGCTTCCCAAGGTCTTGGATTCTTCTCATCAAAAACCCTACAAGCCCTTGCACTCCTACCCAAGAAAGCTGGTGAACAATTCTAGAAACGAGCCTACCGATGTGGCTGTACCTGCATGGGTCATTCTACCCTACACCCTTACAAAGGCCCCTTCCCTAAGGGTCCACGTACCTGATTATGGAATACTTGGGCCTTAAAGTACTTCCTACATAAGGACTTTTGCGTCTAAGTATATAATCATAAGGTACATGGACCCTAGCAAAGGTGCAAGAAGCAGTGCCCTAGCCCCTATACCCTTACAAAGGCCCCTTTATAGGGGTTGGTGAGGGGTTGAGGATTTAGGGTTTAGGGTTTAGGGTTTAGCAAAGGCGCAAGAAGCAGCGCCCTGGCTGGCCACATGACGGCCCGGGCAATGGGGCGGCAGCTCGTCAAGCTTGAAGGATGCGCGGAAGCAACCGAAGCCCAAGGAGACGCAAAGCGAGCGGCGCCATCGGAGACGGGCTTAGGGTTTAGGGCTTAGGGTTTAGGGCTGCTTAGGGTTTAGGGTTTAGGGTTTAGGGTTTAGGGTTTAGGGTTTAGGGTTTAGGGTTTAGGGTTTAGGGTTTAGGGTTTAGGGTTTAGGGTTTCGGGTTTAGGGTTTAGGGTTTAGGGTTTAGGGTGACTTCCCGGCAGGTACGGTGAAGGTTTCGGGTTTCGGGTTCTTGGGATTCAGGCGTACGGTTGATATGGACCCAAGAGCCCAGTGGTCCAAACTCTAAACCCCCTCGTAGCCCAGTAGCCACAGTATAATCAGAAGGGCACCCTTTTTGGGGTTGGTGACTTCATAAGGGAAGGTCGAACCCAAGAACCCTAAACCCTAAACCCCAAACAGGGTACCACTGGGCCACCAAGACCCAGAACCAAGTTCTCATACTCTTCTGGACACCGACAAGTCTGGCGATGAACTTGCACATGGGCTGCGTGCTTACTTGGAGGTTCATGGTACTCATTATGAACCAATAATAACTGTACGTATAACCCACTTATAAGCCCCTTAAGTGCCCTAATATGGTTATAAGTACAGTTATAAGTACAGTCATAAGTACAGTTATGATTGGTTCGCAAGTACCATGAAGCCCCAAGTATAGAGCTTCGGCTGGAATCTTGTATGCTTGAGAACGCTGAGGGCCTATAGGGTTTCGTGTCTGGGGCTTAGGGTTCGTTGTAGGTCAGCGGAGGATAGATATACCCAACAGCCAAGTATAGTATGAACTTGAAACTCTACAGCAAGAACACCCTCCTAAACCCAAGACCCCGGGACCTCAGAGCCCAAACCCTAAAGCCTAAACCGAGCTTAGGGTTTAGGGTTTAGGGTTTAGGGTTTAGGGTTTAGGGTTTATCAGGTCCGCAATGTATCGATCCTCGAGGCTCTTCACTGACTCGCTGTCCTAATGCAATCATCGGGGCCTATGGGGTCTGGGTTTAGGTTCCACGGTCCCGGGCTTGGGGCTTGAGGTTATTAGGGTTTTGAGGGTGTGGGGCCCTAATTAAACCCTTTTGACAACCTAAACCCCAAACCCTAAACCCTAAAACCCTAAACCCTAGACCACTTTAGAGTGTAAAGCGAACCATGGCCTGGTCTACGCCGGCTTTGACTGAGGCAATCCGTTGGGCCCTCTCGTTGCGGTCCTGTGACGGAGAGGACCGGGAATGGGGGTTTGGGGATTAGGGCTTAGGGTTTCGGGTCTAGGGTTAAGAAAACTTAGGGCTTAGGGGAGGGAGGACTGCAGAGTAGGTTTGGGGAGGGGCAGGTTGAGGGGCAAGGGTACCATGCCATTGGTTAGAAAGATATCTAGACAGTGCTTATAGCGCTGAAGGAACCTCATATTAGACGTGTGCGAAGAGACAAGCCGTTAGCAGAGTGATAAACGACAGGCCAAATCAAGAGAGAGAGAGAGAGAGTCGTTAGCAAGATGGTCGAAAACCCCCAACATATAGAGTTAGGGCACGCGCAGATCAAGGGAGCTGTTAGCAAGATGGTCGAAATCGAAAGCATTCAAAAATCAAGCGGGGCACCCATTAGCAAGATGGCGCTGGTCGCAAACACCCGAAATCAGGAGGGGAGCCTGTTAGCAACATGGTCAAAGCACTTCAGATCAAATGAGAGGAGCCGTAGCAAGATAGCGGCAAACACTCAACATCAAGGTGGGTGCTACACTTCATCGACCAACGACAACGACAACCACCTCCGCTGAAAAACCCTCCGCCATGCTTTTGGGAATTAACTGGAATTGACCACTTTTGGCCGAATCTTTGGGGCACCCTTCCACATTGTCATGGGGTTTGGGCATAGGGTTGTCGGTTTGGGGTCCAACGCTTGACCAGCTACTTGACTACTGCTGAACGTTTGGACTTGCGAACCCTAAACCCTAAACCCTAAACCCTAAACCCTAAACCCTAAACCCTAAACCCTAAACCCTAAACCCTAAACCCTAAACCCTAAACCCTAAACTCCAAACGTACGTCTCGATGGCGGGGTCCTGGAGCAGCCGCGCCTCGATACCTTGGCGACACGTCTCGGAGGTTCGGGGTTTAGGGTTTAGGGTTTCGGGTTTAGGGTTTAGGGACAGAACATGAATTAGGAATCGTTGTTGTTTGGGTAGTTCTATCTTAGGACATGTAAGGGGGCTGAAAGGAATAGTTCTGGTAGCTATTCTGGGTTCTGTGTGGGAACCACCTAGACATACATCTTTATATACATATATTATTATTATTATTAATATTATTATTATTTTTATTTTTATTATTATTATTAGTAGTATTATTGATATATATATATATATACACATATCATTAAAAGAACAGGGGCTTTTAGGGTGCAGACTCAATCAGAGCCCGTGTAGCTACGGAGGGTGCAATGTTCTTGGGCTTCAAAGTACCCGCCTATGTACCATGGACACTATAAGCCCAAAAAACCCTCATAATACCCTAAACCCTAAAGCTTGAACCCTAAACAAGCCCTAAACCCACTCAACAAGCCTATAGGCCTTCAGGTCCTGAGGGCGTTGAGAACGCCGATGGCCTTCTCAACGCTTTCGGGGACCTCTCCTATCGATCACCCTGAACCGTAAACCCTAAACGCCAAACCCTAAACCCTGAGAAGAACTTGGCGCAGCCCTTTCCAGTGTAAACCCTACACCCCAGAAGGACAAGAATACGGAGGTTTTCAAGAATAGGTTTCGGGGTTTAGGGCTTAAAAGGGTTTATGGTTTCAAAAAAACCTCAACCCTTAATTTGTTTCTCTCTTTTTTTTGGGAGGGGTCCTACTTAGACCCTAAACCCTAAATCATGGAGTCTTTACCGGGGGGCCCCCTATTTTGGGACATGCCCCATATGCGGCTTTACCACAGCCCCGCAGCCCGCCACCCCTAGCAGACGGCTCAGAGGCCTGAGCGTCCTGAAACAAAACCCAAAACCCTAAACCCTGAACCCTGAACCCTAAGAAGCTGAAGTCCTATGCTCAAATCAACGGCCAGGGCCACATCCCCTAAACCCTCAAACCTAGACCCGACAAAGTCGCCCTAAACCCTAAACCTTAAGCCTAAGCCCTAAATTCCCTAGACCCGACGAACTCAAATAACAAAAAAAACTCGAACATTTGCAGCAGTTCACGCTGCAAGCGCGCATCGGCTGTCTTCCGCAAGGCCACCTTCAACCACCAACTCTCAGCCCCAGCTGAACCGTGCAAGTGAACCCAATACACCCTATAAAATCTGTCACCCTAGAAGCCCCGTAAGAACGACATAGAATTCTCGGAGGGTCTTGGTGTGTGTGGGGGTTGTGGATCTGGCTTACCCTGAGGGTCCATGTACCTAAGTAGGGAGTACTTGGGCTTTAAAGTACTTGCTATACAGGGCATTTGGGGCCCAAGTGCATGATGATTAGGTACATGGGCCCTTAGGGTTAGCCAGGGGCTCACCGGGTTAAAACCTACTCCTTTCCACCGCTGTATGTTGATTCAAGCTCATCAATGTGCTCGCATCACGGCATGGTCAACATGGTTCCGTGTTCCGTCAAGCTGCATTGCCATTTCGATGATCATCGCAGTCTACTGGGTTTAGGGTTTAGGGTTTAGAGTTTAGGGTTTGGGGTTTAGGGTTTGGGCCCTGCACTCTGAATTCAACGAGAATCTCCCAGCCCTGTGCCCTGAATCGGAGGCCCTAGATGCACGTGTCCTGCACAGCTTACAAGGTGCCTGCTTTTGGACGATTCTTCAGAAAGCATGCAAGAAGTGAAAGAGATTCTTGAATTCTACTCATGACTTAGTCATTTAAGGCATTTCCCGAAATAAGGGGTGTCCCTGTTGTACCCCCATAGCCTTGGTAGCCCAGTAACCAATAAGGGCACCCGTTTTTTGGGGGCTTGGTTATTTTTACAAGGGAACCCATAACCAAAAAAAGGGTAAAGGGTACCACTGGGCTACCAACCTAGCGCTATTGTTGGCTTAGGGCAGGGGAGGGGAGGAGGAGGGATGAAGGCCTGTAGGCTTGGCAGGGTGTAGGGTTAGGTTCAGGGTTCAGGGTTCAGGGTTCAGGGTTCAGGGTTCAGGGTTCAGGGTTCAGGGTTCAGGGTTCAGGGTTCAGGGTTCAGGGTTCAGGGTTTAGGGTTTAGGGTTTAGGGTTTAGGGTTTAGGGTTTAGGGTTTAGGGTTTAGGGTTTAGGGTTTAGGGTTTAGGCTTTGAGGGATTCAGTTCCCTGGTGAGTTCGGCCTCACTGGCAAGCTGTGCCGCCAATACCTCGTAGTTTGTCCTGGCGCGGTGCTCCCGAAAAATCCGGAGACCCTAAACCTGAAAAGCCGCGAAACCCTAAACCCTAAACCCTAAACCCTAAACCCTAAACCCTAAGCCCTAAGCCCTAAGCCCTAAACCCTACTAAGTGCTGGAACGGGTGCTGGGGCTCAAGCTTTAGGAGCGTATAGGCTAGACTCAAGAGTTAACCTTTTGCTTATAAGGGAACCTAAACCCTAAAACAAAAGGGAATCAGGGCCTACCCTGGGTCCTAGTAGCCCTAAACCCTAAACCCTAAACCCCATCGAGTTAAAGCTGAGGGCTGACAGCCATACTAGGCCTTACAAGGTCTAGCTTTAGGCTTACCCTTTTTGGGTTGAGGGTTTTCGGGTTCAGGGTTCAGGGTTTGGGGTTCAGGGTTATTGGAACCTGAACAAAAGCGAAAAAAAACCTAAACCCTAAACCCTAAACCCTAAACCCTAAACCCTAAACCCTAAACCCTAAACCCTAAACCCTAAACCCTAAACCCTAAACCCTAAACCCTAAACCCTAAACCCTAAACCCACCACTGGGCCACCAAGGATCTCTATGGCCCCCAAAAGCCGCTAGCAAACAGTATAGGGTTTGAGGAGGCCGTGCTGTGCAATGGCCGCGTATCTCGCAAGCTTTGCTCGCTAAACCTGAAACCCTGGTTTAGGGTTTAGGGTTTAGGAGGCCCATTGCAACATTTGCGAATTGCGGCCTTCCTTTGAGGTATTATCGGTTTGAATGATATAGCACGGGAAAGGATTGTTTGCTGGCAGTCACTGTCACCACGCTGATCTGCCTCCATAACAGCGTAATACTCAAGGACAGGAGTCAGCACACCGACCAGATGGAGCCCCGGGCGCCACAGCGCGCTCAAACCCTTCGAGTTCTGGAGGTCCCGAGGGACCAGCCATTTTGAGCGGTCCATACCATCAATCGTCAAGATGAGATGGGAAGCTCGAAATCCTCACTGCTTGCTTGCTGCTACATTCTCCATGCCCGTCAGAATGGACCTGTGAGCGAACACTTCTTGGATGTGGCGGCCATAAGCTTCGTTGACGGCTGCGAGCTCCGCGTCGTTGCGGTGGATCTTGCGGAACTGGGAATAACGGGCGCAGTCGTCACAGCGCGAGTGAGTTTGCAGTGACCGGATTGCTAAGACTGACCCCGTTTAGGGTTTAGGGTTCAGGGCTTAGGGTAACCCTAAACCCTAAACCCTAAACCCTGAAGCCCAAAGCCTAAACCCAGGTTAAACGCCCGCGGCTAACTTGTGGCGCCACAGACGGGCGAACCCCTCCAGGCATTGACATGCCCTCTTCAAGCCCCAGCAGAGTGGGCTGAAGGAAGAAAGGGTTTGGGGGTAAGGGTTTAGGGTTTAGGGTTTAGGGCTTAGGGTTTAGGGTTTAGGGTTTAGGGCTTAGGGTTTAGGGTTTAGGGTTTAGGGCTTAGGGCTTTGGGTTCCGCAGCCGCGAAAGAGGCTCCAAGCCCGCCGACTCTGAACGGTTAAGCGCTGGCGTGAGAGCCGAGGCAAGGCTGGACACTAAGACACCCCGGATACCTAGGAATACGAAGGGTTTAGGGTTTAGGGTTTAGGGTTTAGGGTTTAGGGTTTAGGGTTTAGGGTTTAGGGTTTAGGGTTTAGGGTTCAGGAAGAACCTGGGAATACAAAGGGTGCCCTTGTTGGGTTGAAGGGCTTGAAAGGGAACCTAACCCGAAAAAGAAACAGGGAACGAGGACCCACTCTGGGTCCTAGTATATGCCCAACAGACCGTAGAATCCTCTTTCTACTTAGCCACCACGCTGAGAACGGACAACTTCAAACAGAGGGGTTTAACGCAGCGCCCCTTCTGAGTGAGAATGTGTATTAAAGGTAGCTTCTACTCTTATCATATTACGGACAAGCAACGGAACAATAATGGAAAGAAATTACTCAGGCTTCTCTCAGCCCTAGATTCTAAACCCTAAGAAACCCTAAACTTTTTAAACCCTAAACCCTAAACCCTAAAGCCTAAAGCCTAAACCCTAAACCCTAAACCTATTCTGCAGCCAGGTGGCTGCAGGCTAGCGGTGTCAGCCTCCGGCGCCTGCATCTTGCAGAAGAATCGCTTGGAAAGTTGAACCTACCCTGAGGGTCCATGTACTTAGGGTGCTTAGGGTTTAGGGTTTAGGGTAAATACCCTATATAGCAAGTACTTTAAGGCCCAAGTACTCCCTAGTTAGGTACATGGGCCCTTGGGGCTACCTACCCGAAGCAGAGTCATGTACATTAGAAAGAATCAGATCTCTTCAGAAGCCCTATCTGCAATGAAAACGCATGATAGACCTTTACAAGCGCATGATACCTTCAGAAGTATTGGTTTTCAAAAGAAAGCTAGACTAGCTAGACTCGAATGCCCTAAACCCGAAACCCTAAACCCTAAACCCTAAACCCTAAACCCTAAAGCCTAAAGCCTAAACCCTAAACCCTAAACTCTAAACCCTAAACCCAACACCCTGAACCCTAAATCCTAACTAAACCCCAAACCCAAAACCCTAAACCCTAAATAGTAGAGGGATCCTTCTTATGGACTGACGGAGCCATTCAGGAGCATTGGGCTCTGTGTATAACAGCGGCTTAGAGGCTTTCTTTGGGGTTGCCTAGTAGGTACCCCTGCGTCTTCAAAAAGGTTGAGTTCGGTTCTAGGGCTTAGGGTCTAGAAACCCAAAATTCCGGAAACACGCCCCGAAAATGGCTGAGGAAGCCCTAAACCCTAAACCCTAAACCCTAAACCCTAAACCCTAAAGCCCTAAACCCTAAGCCCGAAAGCCCTACAGCTCTAAGCTGCGCACGGCGTCGGCCGCGCCTTCACCGGCAAAGACTCCAAGCGCTTATAGCTGCGCTGAATGTCCTCGAGAAGGTGCAGCTCATGGGTGAGAACGTAGGGTTTAGGGTTTAGGGTTTAGGGTTTAGGGTTTAGGGTTTAGGGTTTAGGGTTTAGGGTTTAGGGTTTAGGGTTTAAGGTGGGATGTTCCCCCTTATACTAGCAGTCCTTTGGGATTCTACTACCCCCCCAATTATATAGTCCCCATTAAGGACTGATAGTAGAAGGGGAAACATCCCAAGGTGAGAACGCAGGGTTGAGGTTCAGGGTTCAGGTTCTAGGGTTTAGGGTTAAACCCTAAACCCTAAACCCTAAACCCTAAACCCTAAACCCTAAACCCTAAACCCTAAACCCTAAAAACCCTAAACCAGTTGTTAGGGATTCCAGGGTTGCTCTCTTTTGCCCATGGGTTTCCTTCTGAGAAGGGACATATATAAGGGTTTAGGGTTTAGGGTTTAGGGTTTAGGGTTTAGGGCCCAACCCTACAGGCGCAAACCCTCAACGCCGCCTGGACCCCCAGAGCCACCCCCTCTGATTGGGAGTTTACGAAGATAAGGGACCCCCATAATCGCACCAAATAGTGGGATTTACTTAGAGAAAGGACCCCAATAAGGTACCCCCAATTTCGGAAACCCCCATATGAACCCTAACCCTAAACCCTAAACCCTAAACCCTAAACCCTAAAGGCTAAAGGCTAAAGGCTAAAGGCTAAAGGCTAAAGGCTAAAGGCTAAAGGCTAAAGGCTAAAGGCTAAAGGCTAAAGGCTAAAGGCTAAAGGCTAAAGGCTAAAGCCAAAAGCCTAAAGCCAAAAGCCAAAAGCCAAAAGCCAAAAGCCTAAAGCCAAAAGCCAAAAGCCAAAAGCCTAAAGCCAAAAGCCTAAAGCCTAAAGCCTAAAGCCTAAAGCCTAAACCCTAAAGCCTAAAGCTTTAAAGCCTAAAGCCTAAAGCCTAAACCCAATTCTGCTTGCGGCTCTTAGAGGACAGTTGAGGTTCCGGTGGTCATGCCTGTCGGTGGGCTTCCGTTCCCCTGAGCAGCAGCATTCAAACCTCAAGAGCTTTACCGTGCACCTGTAAGGTTCCTATGTAGTACCTTTCTAGGGGTTTAGGGTTTAGGGTTACGGGTTTAGGGCTTAGGGTTTAGGGTTTAGGGTTCCCCTAGACACCTCGCAAAAGGAACTACGTTAGAGCCGTGGGTTTTGCCCCAAGACTCTGAGAGCTCGTACCTTAGGCTATCTTGAGGGTCTAGGACCGCGGCAGCTGAAGCACACCATCCCGAAAGGATGCTTCCAGGTTAGGGTTTTCATCGTTCTTTGCAAGTCTAAGTGTCGGCACGACTCCCTTCAAAAAGTCCATCTTCGAAGTGTCTCTTTGGCTGCAGGTGCTTCGCTTTTTGAAGACCCGTCTGCCCCCTTTCCCACCCACCCCCCTGCGCAAGCTTGGCTACAGGCTGTTGGCAGTAGACGCCTAGCACTAATCCTACCACATAGCATAAAATATTCACCAGGAAGCTCCCAGTCCCAGCCCTATGCCCCAGCCCTGCTACATATCATAAACACCCACCATCCGCCTAACCATGAGTTTTTCTCATTCAGGGTACGTATACCCAACTGGAATGCTGAGGATTAGGGCGGTGGGGTGCTAGCATGAGGGAGGGGATGAACCCCAAACCCCTCGACCCCTGAACTTGGGTTTAGGGCTTAGGGCTTAGGGCTTAGGGTTTAGGGTTTAGGGCTTAGGGCTTAGGGCTTAGGGTTTAGGGTTTAGGTTTTAGGGTTTAGGGTTTACGGCTCAGTCCTCTTCGATGTAGGTTATGCGACGGGCAAGGTTTTGTGATTGCCTCGGCGCACGAGACCACCGGCTGGGAGTTTAGGGTTTAGGGTTTAGGGTTTGGGGATTAGGGTTTAGGGTTTAGGGTTCGGAGGTTTTCGTTCTTTGACCGCGACTGAAGCATGTGTGTGTGTGTGTGTGTGGGGGGGGGGGGGGGTTGGGTTCCCAGTCCGCCCCCCATCTTGTGGCCCCACTTGAAAAGGCTGAAATAGGTGGGCTGTCCGACTTCTAGCCTGACTTACAACCTTATTTACTTGCCCAACACCCTAACCTTAAACCCTGACCGTCCTAAAACGGCCAAACACCACCAAGCCCTGCAGAAGGAGCCTGAGAAACGATTCAGGGTTGGCGGACGGTTTAGGGTGTGTAGGGAGTGCTGACAACGCCCTAAGACCCTAAACCCCAAAACCCAAACACCTAAGCCCTAACCGCTAAACTTGAGAATCGTACCTGATTGAGCGCGAAAATCTGCAAACCATGCCTACATCAAGGTTCTTTTGAGCCTCTGAGGTATTAGGGCCTGCTGGGGTTTAGGGCCTGGTGGGGTTTAGGGTTTAAGGTATGGGGTTTAGGGTTTAAGGTTGAGGGTTTAAGGTTTAGGGTGTCAAGCGATCCACAACTCAGCTTCTGCAACTGTTGAAATATTTCGGGGGGGGGGGGGGGGGCAGGGGCAGCTATTCCAAGACTCTAGGCTCAAGGTTCAGCGGAACAACGGATTCGGGCCTAGGGTTTGAAAGGGTTTAGGGTTTAGGGTTTAGGGTTTAGGGTTTAGGGTTTAGGGTTTAGGGTTTAGGGTTTAGGGTTTTAAGGTTTATAGGGTATGGATGTCAAAGGTTCGACTGAGAGAAGGTTGGGGAAAAAGGGGGCGAGGGGGTGTCTTCGATCATCAAGAGCGGCTCAGCAGCTCGTGCGCTGCGCTACTTCGGGGGTTAGGGTTTAGGGTTTAAGGTTTAGGGTTTAGGGTTTAGGGTTTAGGGTTTAGGGTTTAGGGTTTAGGGTTTAGGGTTTCGGGCATTGTAGCACAGGCTGTAGAGTTCTATATGGGTGGTTGTCAAAATCATGATCCCTTTTGGGGTACCCTAAATGTTAGGTGCCGTATTTTAATAGGGATCCAGAAACGGAACATGAGCCGTGTCTTTTTCTCTAGCATGAACTGATGGACATTATAACCCTTCCGCGGACCCTTCCGCGGCGTTTTCCGCGTCCTTCCGCGAGCCTTCCGCGGAAATACGCGTTTCCACCTTCGCGCATATGTACTATACATACTACACACAATATAAGTATACAACCATGTACCCTGAGTTTATATGATCAGGACAGCCCGGGCTCCCGGTAGAAAACCCTTCTGCGACCCTTCCGCGGACCCTTCCGCAACCTTCCGCGCAATCTGGTTCACCTCTTCACCCCTTCCGCGGACAATAATAATGTCCGCTGCAAAGTACCTATGCTCGAGCACCTAAACACAACGCAGCTCACATGTTTTTGACAACCACCCATGTAGGGTTTTAGGGGTTTGGGTTTGGGTTTAGGAGACATACGTGTTCGTCTCGCCTGCAAGTTCTGGTGCTGAGGAAGGTTCGGATGCCGAGCACGAGTTTGCTAGGGTGACGAAGTACCAACCCCGTCCCGTCCCTAAACCCTAAACCCCAAACCCTAAACCCCAAACCCCAAACCCTAAACCCTAAACCCTAAACCCCATCACCAACGGAAGCAATATCAGTGAAAAAACATCACCGGTTGTGAGTGCAGCGCTCTGGAGTAGTGGCCCGAAGATCATCCACGGAGACTCTGTCGGGACAAGAGCCACCAAACAGAGGATCATGACCCCTGCAAAAGGTAGTGTCTAGACGACAACTATGTGCTGCAAAACCCCCCCCTAAACCCCAAACCCTAAACCCTAAACCCTAAAACCCTAAAACCTAAAACCTAAACCCTAAACCCTAAAACCCTAAAACCCTAAACCCTAAACCCTAAACCCTAAACCCTAAACCCTAAACCCAAAAATGGATTCCTGCATCAAGGCACATCGGAGCGGGCTCCGAACGTCTTGGGGCCTCGGACTTGCAGATTGAGAAGGGTGGGTTTAGGGTTTAGGGTTTAGGGTTTAGGGTTTAGGGTTTAGGGTTTAGGGTTTAGGGTTTAGGGTTTAGGGTTTAGGGTTTAGGGTCTGGTTTAGGGTTTAGGGTTTAGCGTTTAGCGTTTAGGGTTGAGGGTTTAGGGTTTTAGGGTGTTAGGGTTTTAGGGTTTAGGGTTTTAGGGTTTTAGGGTTTAGGGTGTAGGGTTTTAGGGTTTTAGGGTTTAGGGTGTAGGGTTTTAGGGTTTAGGGTTTAGGGTTGAGGGTTGAGTGTTTAGGATTGTTTAGGTGTAGGGTTTAGGGCTTGAGAAAACAAAAGGCTGTGTGGTTGGGCAACGCTTAGCAGGGTTGAGTGTGAAACCTCTTCTTTGTGGCTTTGGGGTTTTGGTTTCAAGATAAAAGCTTCGGAAGAAAGTGAGTGCATGGAAGAAGGCCCTTCTTGACAAAGAGGCGTACAGAGCACAAGGTTACATTAAGAAGAGAAATCTGCCAGAACCCAAACCCCTAAACCCTAAACCCGAAACCCCAAACACTTAACCCGAACCCCTAAACCCAAACCCTAAGCCCAAAAAAGCGAACACTAAGGTGGGATTCACGGGCCTAGGCTTGCCCTAAACCCTAAACCCTAAACCCTAAACCTAAACCCTAAACCCTAAGCCCTAAACAATGAACCCAAACCCTAAACCCCAAACCCTAAACCCTAAACCCTAAACCCTAAACCCTAAACCCTAAACCCTACTCTTTTTGTTTTTCTTGGGGGGGAGAGAGGTTAAGGGAAGATGCGGCATGGCTCCCCGAAACACCTTTGAGGGCGGATGCTAAAGCATCCTGCCGCGCTTGGGGCAACTTCGGGAAAAAAAGGGGTTTAGGGTTTAGGGTTTAGGGTTTAGGGTTTAGGGTTTAGGGTTTAGGGTTTAGGATTTAGGGTCCATCTATGGGGTCTCAAGGGTCTTCAGGGGTTGAGGTCGGGATGTTCACCCTTATACTATCAGTCTTTACTAGGGTTTGTGTTACCTCCTATGATGATCCCTCTTCAGGACTGTTAGTATAAGGGGTAACATCCCAAGGTTCAAGCCATAGGGTTGGGGTTTAGGGTTTGGGGTTTGGGGTTTGGGGTTTAGGGTTTA